TCGTCGGAGGGTGATCTACCTCGTGGTGGTGTTGGTTTTAGCACAACACCGACAGAAAGTGACTTTTACTTAGACAAGCCTTAGCTCACCGGAAAAATTGCACGATGACTAAGTTCTTTCTTCCCAGTTAAGGCTGGAATGACGCACAACGATCTTTTCTCACTAATGCTCTGATACCATGTGAGAAAGCACGAGAGAAAATATATTATTGATATGGGATGATAATACAATACAAGAGGTCCCTATTTATAGCTATACACTACAAGGAGATATTACTCCTCTTCAATGTGGGATAAGACTACACTATACATATCTGTAAACTAACACTAACAAATGAATGATTAAAGTTCTACTCATCTGTAGAAATATGAAGATTGAGAGTAACTCAAAATAATGAGTCATGGTATTGCATATTTACTAATTGAGAAAATCGGGATGATGAATATCATTTGAATATTTCTTCTGAAAATAGATAGTCAAGATTTACATCTTCACTTATTATAGGTCTTCATATCTTAGTTTTATGTCTCTTAAAATTATCAGACTTTTATTATTTTGCTATTTACAAGCAATTTTATATTTACTATTAAGGAATAATATTTTAAATTACATTACTGATAAAGTTTATTGATTATTAACTTTTAGAGAGGTAAACTGTGTAGTTTGATAATATCTTTCAGTAAATTGTAATTTTTTAATTGTTCGAAAGATAAGGCATGATAGTTGATTTTTATCTCATAGTAACTAACACTATTGCATTATTTATATTTATAAGAAAATGCTAGATATTTTCTTAATCCTTTTTGATTTTCTTAAACTTTTAATATACTTTATATACTTTTTGTGCTTATTATACTATTTTATTAATTTATAAATTGAAAAATTTAAAGGTTCATGGGGCTTACGCTCAATGTCTCGGGGCTTATGCTTCGGCTCACGTTAAGTAAAATGCCCCGCTTCACGCCCCCGATTTTTAAAATACTGGTTGAATAATATGGGGACTAAAATTGGAATAATGTAATAATTCATGGACCAATATTGTTATTTTCCCGAAAGAGCAGTAACTGGAATATATCTACATGGGTTTTGCTTACCTTCTATAACTTTTGCTTTCATTTTTTTGCCCTTCCTAAAAACATTACCGTCCTTTTAATACCAGGGGAGTTTTTGTCAAACAAAAATACCGAAAACCCTCATCCTTCACAGCCAGAAAGGCCGTCTGTTTTGTTCTTCTCCATTGGCGAAGTTTTCTTTTTTTCAATTCCCACCGATGAATCACCCTCCCTATTTCTTATTTCTTCATCTTTATTTCTTTCTCCGGTGACTCCTCCTTTCCATTAGTAATTGTACTCATTTTACTTTTCCATTATTAATCCTCAAAACAAAGTAAATGAGAAAGGTCTCAAGACATTTCTACTATAATGTTTTCAGCAGTGTAAATTGCTCCTATCAACGGAGTAATGGTTTGATTATGATTTGATTTTTTTCATGTCCTTTATACTCCATGTGACCAGGAGGTCACGAGTTCAAGCCGTGAAAACAGCCGCTTGCAGAAATGCAGGCTAAGGCTGCGTACTATAGACTCTTGTGGTCCGACCCTTCCCCGGACCCCGCGTATAGTGAGAGCTTAGTGCACCGGGCTGCCCTTTTTTTTTTTCTTTATACTCCATAAAGCTGGACAACAAATCCTAGGAAATATAAGCCTTTCGCAGCAAATATAAATGGAGAAGATCGGGATATAAAGCAAAATTATAAGAAAAAGAAAAGATTCAGGTCCACCCAGTTTGCACTTCGCAGAGACTGGGAAGAGCAAAATGTGAGAGAGAAAGGGGGAAAACCAAATTGGGTAGAAAGACAAAAATATCCATCTCACTTATGCATTGATAACATGCTGTTAGGGGTATTTAAGGAAAACAAAAGATGTATACAATACTAACCTACTACAACTATGTGGTAGGTTAGCAAAACCCTCTATATATATATATATACACTCGCGCGCGCGCGAGCACACTCACTCCGTTTTAATTTATGTGAACCTATTTCCTTTTTAATCCGTGCCAAAAAGAATGACCCCTTTCCATATTTGGAAACAATTTACCTTTATGCAATGATTTATAGCCACACAAAATGTATGTGCCTCATTTTACACCACAAGTTCAAAAGTCTCTTTTTTCATGAACTTCGTGCCAAGTCAATTAGGTTCACATAAATTGAATCGGAGGAAGTATGGATGTATGTATGAATATGTATATGTACATATATATATATGGCCAAATACATATGGAAACAATTTACCTTTATGCAATGATTTATAGCCACACAAAATGTATGTGCCTCATTTTACACCACAAGTTCAAAAGTCTCTTTTTTCATGAACTTCGTGCCAAGTCAATTAGGTTCACATAAATTGAATCGGAGGAAGTATGGATGTATGTATGAATATGTATATGTACATATATATATATATGGCCAAATACATAGCCAGCCCCTTAAACTTGTCACTGTTTTTCACTTAAACACCTCAGCTGCAGCAGTGACCTATTAGACACTCGAACTATATTGAAACTGTGCCTATTGAGCACCTCATATAAACTCTTCCACAAAAGTTTACCGCATGATTGTCAAGCGCTCAAACATAGCAGACCAACGAATCATTTAATGACATGTGGAAAATAAAGAAAGACAAAATACCCTTCTCCGATTTCTTCATCTCTCCTCCTGCTTCGTCTTCATTGCCCTTCCTTGTTAATATTTTCCTTCCTATGTTAACTAGTTTGGGGAAGTTGTTGATCTTAATCTTGTTAGGGACAGAAATAGGCAATCAAAAGGGGTTCGATTTTCTTGGTTATGAGGATCAGAGAAGCCGAAATCTTGATGTGGGTCTATCTCTATTTCTCTCTCCTTCTTTCTTTCTTTTTTTCTTTTGTTTGGCTATCACTTAGCAATTTGATACTAGATTAGAAGGTAACTTGAATGGCGCTCAAAATTGTGGTCGAATAATACAAAGATGAAAAAGGGGAATGAGTGCTTTCCAAAGGGGTGAATGCATTTGTAGTGCTTAGTGCAAGTTCTCTGATGCTTTAGCAGTATAGCAGTCTTCTTTCTTTTGATTTCATCTGCTTTCATGTTGTTGTAGTTTGAAATATCACTTCTAAATATGGAGAAATTGTATCAGTTGGTCTATGGAAGAGAACTGATGTGCGTTGCTTGCTGTTCAAATGCAACATCTAAAACAATAACAAATGGTTCATGTAATTAATGGTGTTAATTAGAAGGAATAATAAAACAAAGGGGGTAAAAAATGGTGGCCGGAACTAATCGGAGATGGAGGAGAAGGAAGATAAGTGTGGAGAGAGAGTAAGATGTTGGATATTTTTTAGTCATCCACCTTTATTTCATTCATTCACGCGCTCAAACTTGGGTGAGATTCACACTTTGTGCCAAGTCAGCATGAGGTGCTCAATAGACAGTTTAAATATAGTTCGAGTGTCTAAAAGGTCACTGCTGCAGTTGAGGAGTTTAAGTGAAAAACTAGTGACAAGTTTAAGGGGCTGGCTATGTATTATATGTATGTATATGTATATGTATATGTATTTATTTATGTAAAGATTCTATTTTGGGATCAAAGTAACAGAAATGCATACTATCCTCTTTTTTTTTTTTTTGAATTCTTGAACATGGTAAATTTTCCAGTTAAGGAAAAATGAGACGATCTAAACTGTGAAGTAGGTCAGGCAAAAGGGAATGTATATAATGTTTCTTATTTCTCACCTTTTAATTATAAAAGAGTTGTCAACTAGCTTAAAAACAGGGGATTAAATAATTCCAGTACAGGACGCACTAAAGCCAGCAAGGCGCAGTTGTGGTCATGTCTGCATACCATTGAAATGCTCTTTATTGTTATCAAAATACTTGTATTAGTTTTGGGAGTAACTGATACTCCTTTCCGGTACTAAGCATCCTTCCAGAGTCCTCCTTAATAAGTCAATTCCTAAATTTTCATTATCTATTACTCCTAAAGGCTTTCAATTTGTTATCTTCTCAATAAAAAAATATAAAGAAATGCTCGAACAAAGTGACTGCTTCTCGCCTCAAGTGACTTGCATTTGAGCGCAAAATCTGAGCACATCATTGAAGCACATTGGGTCGACATGCTGAAGTGCATTAATCCTCGTGTCACTTCAGTGGCTTTAGCGAGAAGTGATCGCTTTTGATAACACTGCATTTGAGATAGTTATGTTTTCTTTCAATCAGTGTTCCTTTTCTTTCTCTAGGTATAACTTAGCTGCTTTTTGCCTTTCTTAACTTTGCTTTCTGTTATGTGAAATTCTAGCCCACTGACATAATTGTTGGTCTTCTAGGTAATGTTGTTGCACTGTTACATGCTTTCTTCTGTAACCTACCACAAGAATGGCTCGAGGGAACTCATCTTATCATTAAGCACCTTAGGCCTGTGACATCTGTTGCGGTATTAAGAATAGCATTTCGTATTATGGGTCCTTTGCTTCCGAGGTTGGCCAATGCTCACACCCTTTTCAGTAAGGTACAAAATCTTTCGAGTTAATGTTCATTTTTCTCTTAATGTGAGATCAGTAAAGGGTTAACTTAGGGGATTTGAATTTGATTTACAGTATTCAGGGAAAACCTAGCTTATTTTATGCTCACATGTCATTCTCCTGCATAATATTCCTTGTTTACTCCCTGTGAAAAGAAAATATGAATGAACGGTGTATACTAAGTTAAGAACGAAGCAAAAGCGTCTTGAGAATTCGAATTATATTATATAGGTTGCTTAAATTTTGCAAGTCGGTGCTTTGATAGGGCCTTGATCGGAAAGCTGAACCTGGGACCTCTTATCGGCCTGCTCAACAATGATCGGCAAATAATGCTTTGGGCGGACGCCACGATCGATGTGGCTGATCCAACCGACCACGCTAGAGCAACCTGCTCTTAGTCGTTATTTCCATTCTTAAAAGCCCATCTCCTCTTGAAGATTAGTCTAGGTCTGATCCTGAATTCCTATATAGGATTTTGATAGTCAGTCACGATGCTCTATAATGGTGGTGTCCGGACTAGCTTGCGTACCTATGTTGCTCGGACTCTCCAAAAGTGTTACCGCACCCGTGTCGGATCCTTCAAAAATGTACTAAATTTGGAGGATCCGACACGCACCCAACAACATTTTTGAAGAGTCCGAGTAACATAGTTGCATACATCTCGACTATTCCACCGGGTACGTATTACCGGCCACCAACACAAGTACCGGGGAATAATAACAGAGAGATAAAACATTGTACATTGCTCATTTCCCTAAAATCTTGGGGTTGGAAGTAAATATACACTGGACACATAGTCGCAAGGCCTGGACACAGATATTAAAGTTTGCTCACATGCACTTAATTTTTATCGAAGTCCATCTCTGCTTAATGTTTAGAAATTTTTTCTCCTTTCTGAACAAGTTTGGTTTTTCCATTAAAAATACTTAGATTTTAAAGGGCATAAAAGTCCATCAACTTTACTGGGTTATTTTCGTCTATCAGCATCAGTTTGGGTCTTCATGTTTATAACAATGTGGATAGAAATATGTATCCATCAAAGGCACTCCAGATCTTTCTTATGTTCTACATTCTCATGGACAAGGGATGATGAAAGTCATAAATATCTCTAGTATGTGAATATGTTCATAATTTATTTTCGATTAATTATTTTGGAACTGGTTTAAGTTAGGAAAGTGAATATACACTGGACACATAGTCGCGAGGCCTGGACACAGATATTAAAGTTTGCTCACATGCACTTAATTTTTATCGAAGTCCATCTCTGCTTAATGTTTAGAAAATTTTTCTCCTTTCTGGACAAGTTTGGTTTTTCCATTAAAAATACTTAGATTTTAAAGGGCATAAAAGTCCATCAACTTTACTGGGTTATTTTCGTCTATCCGCATCAGTTTGGGTCTTCATGTTTATAACAATGTGGATAGAAATATGTATCCATCAAAGTCACTCCAGATCTTTCTTATGTTCTACATTCTCATGGACAAGGGATGATGGAAGTCGTAAATATCTCTAGTATGTGAATATGTTCATAATTTATTTTCGATTAATTATTTTGGAACTGGTTTAGGTTAGGAAAGTGAGCACATTGCTAAAGTCATTTGTGTTTCCATTTCTTTCGCTTCCATCTGTTGGAAAATCATCTTGTAGACACTGTCGCTGCTTTTGAATATTTTGGTGGATGTCTTTGGGAGGAACTCACAGCTATCAACACCTATTGAAGCAACCGAAATCACTGATCTTATTGACTTCCTGTAAGAATCTTTTTCTTCTCCATGTCTTATCTATAAAAGTTGTAGCTTTCTTTGATGCATTGTTTTTGCATTTTTAATTTATTCTTCAGCAGTTGCAGCCTCCTTTTGCTTCACATGTCACTTTATTGCCATGCTTAAACAATTTATTTCCTCAGGCATCATGTAATTCATTACGAGGGGCAGGGAGGGCCAGTGCAAGCGTCTAGCAAACCTCGATCTGAAATTTTGGCTCTTTTTGGAAGAGCAGCAGAAAATTTGCGTCCAGATGTTCAGCATCTTCTTTCCCACCTCAACACTGATGCAAGAAGTTCTATTTATGCTGCAACTCACCCAAAAATCGTCCAAACTCCTTAATAATTGTTGTTTCATGCTAGCTTCTTTATCAAGTGCTCCTTTATGTAATTCGACAGTGGTGATGTTGAAATGTACATCTTAAAGGTAATGTTGAAATGTATATCTTAAAAAGAAGAGTATTTGATTGCAGGAATTTAATGCAAACTATTTTATGGCATTAAGTTGCTTTTGCAGTTATATCTCATCTCCACTGATATAAATAAAATATAGAACTGTGTACCAAATTTTTGTTTAGGAGCACAAAGTTACTGAAATGTCACCCCTCCAATAATAAGGGTAGGTGTATGTGAAGACTTTTACAATTTTGTACATTACCCACTGATTATATAGGGTTAGGTGGTTGAAGCGTTGCATTAAGTTTTGAACTGATATGCAAATTTCGGTACTATGGTAATGCTTCAAAGGATCTGTTAGACCTTCCACTTTAACCTTATCTCTGCAAAGTGGCCACTTAAACTTGTATCAGTTTGCCAATCCGGTAAATAAACTTATATCTTTTTATTTTAACACCTCAACTTGATGAACTGAATACAAATTAACATATTTGACTGTTGACTATGCTTATGTGGCAACAACGGGTTGATGTGGCCAAAGTGTGTGACAATCACGCTAATAAAGCGCGTTAGAATAGAATTTTGGTGGAAAAAATACTAAAAAGTGGGGAAAAGAAAACATCAATTACAAAAGAAAAGATTAAAAATAATAGAACTAAAAATCTACTCCCTACCCCTATGCCCCTACCCAACCTTTCTTTCCCTTATCCTCCTTTTTCCCCTTTCTTGAATTTTTGGTCTTTCACCCGCCGTGCCATTTCTGTCCACAAACCTCTCCTCTCCAACCTTACTCTTTTAAAAAACCACAACTCCATCAAATCAATACCATTCCATCATCCTCCTTACCATCAGAAAAGATTTTTAAGAAAAAATTCTACAACAACCTCTATTTTCAATCTTGATCATTAAAAATCACCTTAAATTTAATACCACAAGAACCTTCATCGCAGAGGAATAAAATCGGCAAGCACTACCGCAAAAATCAGACCACGACCATCATCATATTTTACCATAAAAGAGGAATCTTATGGCCTAAAACACTTCACCGACGACTACCTATCTCTGTCCACCTCTCTTAGATAACACCCAAATACACCACAAACACTTCTCAAACATCTGAAATTAAATTTATAGAAAAGTAAATTTGTTCTCTGTAGATCGTTCCTCTGGCCAACTCCACTTGAAATATTTGCCACTGTTTGGTGACGGTGTTGATGAACCCACAGATCTCATTTGCATTTATGGTGACCCTTCCCCGCGTTCTTGAAACTGTTATGCCAGTTTGGATACCTCTTCAGCACTATTATTGTATTCAATTTGTGGTTCTCACTGATGGTTGAAGGTTATATCTTAGAAGGTTCACTGTTGCTATGGTGAAGAGGAAGAGATGAAAAGAAAAGAAAAGAAAAGAAAAGAAAAGAAATTTAAAATCTGGTAAATTGTATTTTTTAAAAAGTAGGCCCCACATTTTACACATCTAAGATCACGTTCAATTAGAAGTGTTTATTAGTATTCGGTTCATCAAGTTGAGGTGTTAAAATGGAAAATGTGTAAGTTTGTTTACCGAGTTGGCAAACTGGTGCATGTTTAAGTGGCCAGGAAGCCATTTTGTCTTGTTTAATAAATAAAAATCAATGTAGAAGTCCTTCTGAATTGACATTTTTGTTGGAATTTGTGGGTATCTCAAAAGGAAGTGTCCCTTATTTTTATCAACTTTCTCTCGTCTTGAAATAGTCAAACTAGCCGTTGGAGCAATACCTATATAAACATGGTCTTTGGAGAGCTAAAGACACAATTTTCTGAAATAACTTTCTGAATCTTCTTGTTCCTCTTATATGCTGGGTTTCTTTATTGAATTTTCTACTAGTTCTGTTCCCATATTAATAACTAGAAGAGCTTGTTGAATTCTGGGGGATATGCTTAATTTATTCTTTATTGTGTAGGTGAAATATCCTTAAGGACAATGTTCTTGACACGCTTCAAGCTTTGATAAATCCTATTTTCCGTAACCAATTTTTTCAACAATCTTAAGGATATTTCTTACACTGTTCTTATGGAGAATATCAAATCTAATAGTTTTGCTACTTGATACTCGAACTTGCAAACACTGAAGAAATACAAATAAACCAACTTTTTCAGTAATTCTGAAATTTTAAGAGTAATAGATGATAAACAAATGGATATTACTATTATTATTCTTATTATTATTATTATTATTATTATTATTATTATTATTATTATTATTATTATTATTATTATTATTATTATTATTATTAATTGAGTTTATAAACTCTTAAACTGTTCTGCAAGGATTTCCAATGATGGACCATATAATATCCACAATTGCAGAACCAATTCGGGATCTGCTGTTCATACATATTAGAATAAAGCTTTATGAACCAAGAATGCTTTTTATTAGCATTTTCATATATCAAAGCTTTATTAAAGCTTTCCACGTAATCCCAATAATTAAATTTCACTGGGAGTTTTTGCTCAGAATGGGCATATTCCCTTTCCTTGAATGTACTAAGCCCCCATTCATCTGAGGCTAGAATCCTTTTATGATAATTTTAGAGAAATTATAAATTCTCTTTGTATTAGCAGGGTAAAAGTGCTAAAATTCAGCTGAGCCTGTAGATGTTAGGCCCAATTCATAATGCATCCTATACTTATATGTAAAGGTAGCATATGATGTTGTATCAAAGTACCTGGCCATAAGTTGCCAAGGGTTATCCTTCCATTTTAGGTCAGACTGTTTTAAAAGAGTTATTAACTCTTTTTTCTCATTTCGGTTATAAACCTCAATGGCCTCATGACTATCATCTGTCAAGGCCGATGGATATGATGGATTATCATTATTACCTTGTTTGGATTTCATAAAATCCAGGAATTCTTTGTACATCGGGTGTCTAGTATTAATCCCAGATGTTTCTGCTATATTAGCAGCTATTAACTGCTGGTTTCCAATTTGGGCAAAGATATTCCCTCAGCCATAGGAAGGTGTCCTTCCTCATCCTCTTCCCCGAAGAAGCCTATATACGGGTCTCATATCCCGTCATACAAAAATAGAGAGATTATTAATTCAAGTATTCTCTAGTAAGAAAATCAGGGAGTCTATTATCAGTTCCCTTTTTATAAATTATTTCAAAATATAATGGAGCTAACATGGCTTGCCATCTTGCAAACATCTGTTTAGAAATATCATGTTTACAATCTTTATTAAAGATAAACTTTGCTTCTTGGCAATCAGTTTTTATTAAAAACTTCTGATTGTATAAATTATTCTGGAACTTTAATACACATTTTACTATGGCAAGGATTTTCTTAGCCACAGTAGCATAATTTTTTTAGAAATTATTCCATTTTCCCAAATAGAATTGAACAAGATATTCTTATTTATTAATTGGATAACATTATTTTAATATTCCACCAAATCCAATATCTGAGGCATCGGTTTCAATTATTTTTGCCCAACTTGGATTAGCAAGTGTAAGACATGGAAGATTATTAATGTAATGACCCGACCTGTTGTTTTGCTTTCTAGAACTCCGTCCCCTAAATAAGACTTCCCGTACGTACTTTTACTGTTTTATGACTTGCGGAGATGGTCGGTTCGGGATTTAAAAGGGGTTCGGGTTGAAATCGAAACACTTGGTTCCTTAAGGTTGGCTTAAAAGGCCAAGTTTAACTTCGGTCAACATTTTGAGTAAACGACCTCAGAATTAGGATTTGACGGTTTTAATAGGTTCGTATGATGATTTTGGACTTGGGCGTATGTTCGGATCGTGTTTTGGATGACCCGGGAGCATTTCAGCGCCTAATAGTGAAAGTTAGTTCTTGAAGGTTTTAAAAAGTTCTTTAAATTTGGTTTGGAACGGGTTTTGGTGTTATCAAGGTCCAAACTGAATTCCGAGACCGGGAATAGCTCCGTAATGTCATTTAAGGCTTGCACGCAAAATTTAGTATCAATCCGAGTAGTCTAAGTACGTTTCGGCACATTTTGAGTGAATAGAAGAACTTGAAGTTCATAAGTTTGATTCAACTGGCTTTGGAATTTGATTCTTATTTTTAATGTTGTTTCATGTGTTCTGAGAGTTCGAGCAAGTCCGCATATTCTAAACTTGTTGGTATATCCGGGCGGGGTCCCGGGGGTCCCGAGTGTCGCTCGGACGAGGCTCGGACCAAATTGGGATCATGGAGCCACAACTGAAGCTCCCAGATCTGTCATAATCGCACTTGCGCTTAGCCAGCCGTAGGTGCGAGCCACGAGCCGCAGAAGCGAGAGATCAAGGGTAGCCCAGGGATCACAGATGCGGAAGATTGGGCGCACCTACGCGACTGCAGGTGCGAGAGCCTTGGTCGCAGGTGCGACTAGGCCCGCAGAAGTGGCCACTTCTGTCCGCAGATGCGGAGACTAGCCAGGTGGGGGAAAAGTGCACCTGCGAGGCATTGCCGCAGGTGCGAGACCGCAGATGCGGCCAAGGCACCGCAGGTGCAGAAGTCGCTAGGCAGTGAGGGTTCATTTAATGCGGACTTAGGCCATTTTTATCACATTTTTATCTCACTCTTGGGCGATTTGAGAGCCTTGAAGGAGGGGATTTCGACCTAGCTTTGTAAGGTAAGTAATTTCTACTTAATGTGAGTTTAATATATAGATTATGGGTAGATCTTAACATAAAAATTTGTAGAATCCATGGGTTTAGATGAAAAACCTAGGTGTTGATTAAAATGGGATTTTACCATGAAAATTCTCACGCCCCAAAACCGAGGAGCGCGACCGGCGCTCAACTGAGTGAACCCGATCGAGCAAGCCTGTTAGATTTTATTCTACCCAAACTCATCCATGAATAGAGATAATACATATTATTATTAATTAGACGAAAATGTGTTCATGTCTACAATACCAATTCATTTCCAATAGTTTCATCATTTTTAAAGTCTCAAATGGACAGGTAATACATCCACAACATAACATAGTTTGTCTTTCTCCAACACCAATACACAACCCACATTATGTCTACGGAGCCTCTATAGATAAAGAAGAGTACAATGATAATGTCGGCAATAAGGCTCCGGCTATACCTCAAACCGAATACACAAATTACAAAAGATACATGATCCCGG